TCTAGGTGGGAGGAGATGATGGAGTGGCTTTTGGCTGGACTTTTTCTTGGTAGCCACAGACTGATCTCCTCCAAAAGAGACTGTATTTTAGGAGGATGCCGGTGAGCCAAAGAGACCATGCTTCAGCTGGGAAAAGACAGAAGTGGAGCGAACAGAGAAAAGTGAGGGAGGTTTGTGGTGGTGCCCCCTGTCTTAAGAGAAGAAGATCTCTGTTCTTGGATCCTTGGCCTCAGGGGAAAATGGGGGGGACTGTGGTCCCAAAAATGAAAAACTGAACTGTTGTTTTTTCCCCTCTTGGCAGGACATCCTTGAAAGGAAAAAAATCCTAAAAGCAGTCTGTCCATCCATGCATTGGTGGTGAGAGCACTGTGCATAGAAAGAAGAGGGTCACTATTGGCAAACTTTTTTCTCCGGGCGGTGCCATGAGTGACATGGAAGCACAGGATGTGGCAGCTGTGTTTCTTGGGGGGTCTGTGGCACAAGAGGGGCTCCTCTCTCCCTCAGTGGACTGAGAATCGATTGTCTGGAGGGTGGAAACCTGATTGGAGTCCAGGTTGTGTCTCACTGTGGTTTGTTGGAGTTGAGTAGTGGGAGGAGGAATGCTTTGGAAGGTTTTAATTTTTATTTTTGTGTGTGGTTTTTTTTTCTTTTTCCTTTTATAGTAGTATAGTAGTAGTAGCTTAATAAAGTTTTTTTCTTGTTATTAAGCTTGGGCCTGCTTTGTTCTGTTCTCGATTGCATTTTCATGGGGGCACTGAGAGATTGCCTTTTCATGGGGGCACTGGCATTGTGCCAGTGTCAAACCATGACACCTCCCATTTCTTCCAAGCTAGAGACAGGTGTTCAGCATACTCAGCCCTTCATTTAGCCAGGATTTATTCAGTCTTGCACACATAAAGGGAGGATAAAAGGGACCTGTGCCCACAAAACCCCATTTTTCATTATCCATGTTATGAGGTGATACATCCTTTCATCACCAACTTGGGACCACTGATAGCTTTTTGAATAGCTTTAAACACTTCCCCCCCCCCCCCCCCCCCCCATACTATTTCAAAATGTAGGTACATTTTTATTGTTGACCTCCAATAAAAAGTAATTTCTTTATAAATCCTCTTTTCCTATTTATCACTGATTCCTTGTACAGTACTGTTTGTGATGACTCATCATTCAGAGTATCTGGCACTCAGAGAAGTCACTTGTAATGAGTGCCTCCAACAAATACTGCCTTTTCTAAACAAAATTTTGTATAAATAAAGTGGGATGTCATAAGTAACAAGATAATACTGAGCAGCAGAACAATGTTATTCAGGCTTGATAAAATTGCAAATTGTGTTTCAAGACCAACAATTTGTTTTCTTTCTTTAGAATTATAACTGTCAAATCAGATTTCTCCTTTTTCTACGTCCTCCCTTGCCTTGAAGGGCAAAGGTGATGTGAAGACATAAAAAATTCAACCTGACATTTCTGTAGGGCTTATACTGGAATACAGTCACACAATAAATCCATGTCCCATCTTTCAGTAACATCTCTCAAAAATGTTGGGTTGGATTTTTTGACCTCCATGTGCTACCTAGTGATTTTGGTGGTTTTTTCATTTGGACAACAAAATGAAGGGAAAACTAGATAGTTTCTAGTCCCTTTCACTTTCTGGTTTTCATGCAGAAGTGCAAGATAGACATGTATTCATTCACAAAAGCAAAACCACCACCACACCTTATTAATACTAGTTTTAGATATTTTAAATGTTTCATTCATTTAGAAGAACAACATCCTGGGGAAAGTCATCCTTATTTTGACTCTAAAATCTTTGCACAGATTTCTTGATTGAAGTGAATCACATGCTTTTTATTACATGCCCTTTTTACTTTTTTTCCTCTAAGAAAAGCTGTCTTCTTACTGCTTTTTGGATGAGAAGTAGTTAGTTACTTAATGACAGACTAATCTCTCAGCCAGATCATAGAATGGCCTGGGTTGGAAGAGACCTCAAGGATCACATAGTTTCAACACCCCTGCCATGGGCAGTGATGCCTTTCACTGACCAGATTGATTTGAGCTCCATCCAACCTGGCCTCAAACACTTGCAGGAATAGAGCATCCACAACTTCTCTGAGCAACCTGTTTCAGCACCTCAACGGTAAAGAGTTTTTCCTAATATCTCATGTAAACCTACTCTCATGTGTTGGTCTGGAAATTTCCAGCTGCTTCTGGATTATTCTTTTGCTTCTTGCTCTCACCTGTAGCTACCAGGTCTTACTCACTAGAGTATGCTCCATGTTTAGTTGGGCTGGCCTTCCCATGACCGCCCTGGAAGGTCATAGCAAGTATCCTGTGACTACTTGGGCTAGCCAGGAGGTAACAGACTAATGGTCAAGGATACTAGAGGTGGCAGCAATCATTTATTTCACAGCAGCCTGTTTGTATGTGGGCTCTTATGAAATGGGTGTTGAATTCTGCTGTCACTGTGGAAATGATGAATAATAATCAGGTTAAAGCAACATATTGCATCATTCACAGAAGATGTGCGAGGCAGTTCCTTTGAACTTCCAACACTATGTCAGCTGTTCTTCCCCTCTGGGAATGTTGTTTCAACATCTGAGGTTAAATACCTTATTTGTAAACAAGTGGAAGGGAAAAAAAATCGGGTTGTTTTGGAAAGGAAAAAGATTGTTTTCCTTTTTTGATTCATTACATTATTAGCCTGCTCTTTGCATGATTTTACATTAGCATTTAGCAGTTACATGGAAGTACAGAGAAGATGATGGAGGGGTATATTTCAGCTAGTGAATTTATTCTGTTGGCTGTCCTGAAAAGACAGGCATGTTAAAAAGCCATTGAGCTACCCTTACACAAATATAACAACATAGTTGATATATGTTAAATAACTGTGTGACCCAAGGTAAGTGGGCACGATTATGATAAAAGCCAGCTATACACAACTTGTGGGTCTCACTGACTTTTCACCAGTCTTTCACAATGCATGTGCTCTGATTTCAGCTCTCATGGATCTAGACATATTCTATGATAATTTGCATAAATATTCATCCTGCAGTTGTTCTGTCCATGCAGTGTTACATTCCTCAAGACTAGAAAAGGGAAGACACAGTTATTTGATGCAACATCTTAGCCAGAAAACATGAAATAGCATATCTATGAGGTATACAGAGGTGTATTTTTGTTGTTGGGTTTGGGGAATTTTCTGCTTCTCCATGACAGGCATGACTGCTTCTGATTTTTTGTTTTCTAAAGATTTTCTGAACTTTTTGCAGGAAAATAGTGAAGATTTCCTGAGTAAAGTGCACCCTAGAGTCAAATACCACAGCATCTTGGCTGATTTCTGTGGCAGCAGAAGCACATACTGCTGTTCCCCATTCATCACACCTTTCTTTTGAGCAGTTACCCTGAAGGGCAGTGCTTCAGCTCAGGGAGGAGAGCATGCTCAGGATATACAGAAACATGTCTCTGTAGGAAGAGTGGAAGGTACAGGAAGGAATCCATTTACTTCTAGGCTGGGGTTAAGAAAAGTTCTGGTAAATCTTTCTCTGTCCTGCACAGGGTTTGTTGGCCCTGTGTGAAGTTAGGAGGGGACAAAAGCAATGGTGGAAGTTTCAGTCTGGGTTTGATTCTTCTGCCACACAGGAAAAAAAAGTATGCTGGCCTTCAGCTCTCTCGAGACTAAGGCAGTACCAAAGTGTCTTTATCGATACAGAGGAAAGTTACCAGCCTGTCATAGCCCCAAGTGCTCCAGCAGCTTGACAGAAAGTGTGACTTTCTAGGCTCTGATAAACAGCTGCTAAAGCTTGATTTCTGGCCTTGCCTTTTATAGAATGAACATGTACCTGCTACCTCTCAACATGTATTTATGAAAACCTTAATGCCATAGCTGCTGTTCACCGCTGTGGGTTCGTGTTTGAACTCTTCACCCCCCATTGCAGTCTCCAAGGAGTTGCAGATTCTCATCATTCCTTCTCATGAATTACTGGAACTGGAATCCCAAACAGGATTACAGTTTGAAGCACGTCATTGGTTTTCCTGGTGAAGTTGCAATTAGGACTAAGAAGAAAAGGGCTGTGTGTGATTCATGTGAAGAGTCTTACAGTAAAGAGGGGGATAGAGGAGGGATGATGTTAGATCAATTCACTTTGAGAGTCCTAAAGTGAAATTAAAACATCAATGTCTAACTTTTGCAAACTGACCAACTGGGAAAGTTGTAATTTCGGGTTAGAGTGGATTAGAGAGGAAAACAGAAACTGAACATGAGTTTCTTCTTCCTTGCCTTTTCTCTACTTGGCTTGGCTTCCTTTTGTGCCTGTGCCAGAATCAAGTATTTCTGAGAGGTAATTTCTGAAGACCTAACCTCCTACCCTGATGCTCAGGCCCTGCTGAGTGGTGCTTACATCTGAGTGGATATGTGTCCTGTGTTGCACTTTCCTCCCACCGAAAAAAAAAAAAAAAAAAAAAAAAAAAAAAAAAAAAAAAAAAAGTAGTCAAACGCCACAACTCCCCAGTTCTGGTTTGCAGCGTAATTTGAATTTCTAGGAGAAACACAGCTTCCGGGCGGCAGCGACCGGGAGAAGGGCACTGGGGGAAATACAGTTCCTCTCCCCGCCACTGCCGTGCCGTGCCGTGCCGGCTGACAGTCACTAGCTGCGTGGGGTGTCCTCCCCTGCACTTTTCGCTTTGAACTTTCCCTATTTCAGCAACATATCCCTAGATGGAAAACCATACCGGGGGCAATGCTTGGACTGCTTCATGCTTTCCAGACCCGGGCCAGGTGCCGCACCGCATCCTGCTCTGCGGGGCCGCGGCAGTGCCGTGGCACAGAGGGGTTTCTTTGGCCCGGCTGCCCGGTCTCCAGGCCCCGTGTGTTTGCCCCAGCCCCGTTCGCCCTTGGAGCGGGCGCGGTTGCGGTTCCCCCGCTCCCCGCTAACGTTACGGGCTCAGCGGCTTCGCGGCGACACTTCAGCGGCTCTGCCCGAGCCCAGGCTCGCACACAAGTGGAGCGGCTCCGCTCCCCGGCAGGTCCCGGCTGCTCGGCCCGGGGCCTAGGTGATGCCCGGGGGCCGCCCGGTGCAGCCGCGGGACGCGCTCTCCGACCGCCACGACCGGGGAGCGCCCCGGGAAGCGACTTCGCCCCCGCCGAGCGCTGCCGGCCGCTCCAGCGGGAGGCGGGGGCCCGGCAGCTCTGCCCCCGCGGGCCGCGGGGCGGGCCGGGCCGGCGGGCGGCACCGCGGGGCCGGGGCTGCCGCCGGCAGGGGCCCGCCGGGAGCAGCGAGGGCGGGCGGCATGGGGGCCGGGGCGCTGGCCGTACGCGTGAGTAGGGGCCGGCGGCGGGACGGGCACGGGAGCGGGGCGGCGCTGCCGGCGGAGCGGGGCCGGCGGATGGCGGCGGGATCAGCCTCCTCCTCCGCCTCCTGCCGCCCTCCGCCGGGGACCCTCGTGGGGCCGGGGCGAGGGAGGCCGGCCCGGGCCCGGCGCCTTCTCCTCATCCCGAGCGCTCTCCATCTGTTTCCTCCTTCCCTCTTCTTTTCTTTCTCCTTCCCCCCGCTCGGCAGCTGCCGCTCCTTTGGGAAAGGCGAACACTCGGAAAGGCATTCCAGACAGTTTTCTTTTAGTTCCCCCCTCCCCCCCCTTTTTTTTTTTTAACCCAGAGAACAACTGCCCTGCCGTGTTCCTTGCGTTTAAAGTTGTTGGATGTGCTGTAAAAGTGCGTCCCTGTGGTGTATAAATAGCTTTTTTCCAAGTGTCTGGGCGGAACTTTTTGGCGGCATCGTGCAGGGATGATTAAGTTGCTTTCCCAGTCTCGGAAATCAGCAACAGTGGCATTAATACTTGGACGCGTTTTCCCTGGGTAAAGTCAGATCTTCCATTTATAAATCAACATAACACTGAACTATTTGTTTCAGAGGTGTTTTGAGGGGATGGCTTTATTTTTATTTTGGTTACATGTGTATTTTGGATAACCACATCATTTTTTTGTTCCTAGTTAGCACAGCCTCTTCAGATCCTGAGGCAAGCTCAAAAATTTCCCCTTGTTTCTGTGGACATGGCAAATGTCTGTCGGTTCTCATGTGGATTTAAATAGTGAGTTTCCCCAAGTAAATCCAACTCTGTGACTCAGGTTTTCAAATGTTGAAACAGGCTGGAAACCTGTAACTGAGCAAGATTGTGAGGCTAATTAAGGCCTTAATTGGAAAAGCTCCCTAAGTATCACAGCTGCTCAGAAACTGCTCAAAGGATTTTTGCTGTCTTCTAGTCCTAGTCTAGTCTACATTTTTACCTTGTCATGTGTCTGCCTGGAATAAATGTTGTTTATTATTCATTTAATCCTGAGCGGGAACATGTCTTTTTAAAAGACGTGGTATTTTAATGTTAGTCAAATTTTAGTTCAAACACTGATGCATCTACTGTTCATTGTAAATATTTATAAAGAGGTCACAATAATGCAATATTGCAGTTCTGTTTCACAAATAATAAAACATACCTGTGATGTTTATATAAGCAACATCTTCTGTAAATATCACACAAGTGTTGTGTAGGACCCGGGACTGTAGAGCACACACATGCTTCAAATAACTATTTAGTGGGAAAAGCACAGCCAAGTGAGTGAATTGCCAGATCATTTTATATCTGAAAGGACAGTCATGCTTAATAGCAACATAGCAGATGTTTATATTGCTCACAGACTGCAATAAAAATATTGTGTCTCCAGTGAAGAGATTTTAAAGGCCTGTTTAAAATAAAATAAAATATCTATGCCGTGATAAAATCTGTCTTAATACAGTGAAGTGTCAAGACTTAGGCAAGAGTCTGAGCACTTTTTTATGTTACTATACTGTATTCTCCATATGTACAGTTTCTACTACCAATTTGTCAATGCAACACAGTACACAGTAGGAATAAGTTTATTTTAAGCAACATGCCAGTGATGGGCTTCTTAAAGAAAGAGATTGAACTCTGTGGTAGCAGTGGTTCCCGGTTCTTGCAGTGTGATTTCAACTGTGGTGGGTGATGCTACTGTTCTGCCTTGAACTGTCTTCCGAAATGTGCAATCCTGTAGGCTGATTAGGATTTCTGCCTATTATCAGTCCTATAAATTAATCATGTATTGTTTTATTCCGCTGGGTTTTATTAACTATCCTCCCATGGTTCCTCTGTCACTGCAACTCAAACTTGTGAGAATGTTGTGCCTCCAGAAGAACCTATGGGATTAAAGATTTATTATGCAGTGGGTTTTTCTACCCCCCTTGTTATGTGTGATTAGATTACATAGTCCCTTTCTAACTTTAAAACCTCAGTAATTAAATTTCAGACTTAGCAGATACTAAACATAACAGAAAATCTTCCATAAGGTTCCATCTCACCTGACAGTGGCCAAAATGAATCCCTAGGAAACAGTATTTGGAAGAAGAGTGTAGTGTGCCTTCTCCAGAGTACTGCCCTGACAGGCATCTTGTGGGATTCTTTGTGTTTGTCCAGTTACTTTTATAACCCATGTGAGTTTCATGAGTTGACAGCTGCAGTCTCCTGCTTGCTTACTCCCAGTTACTTGTTATTCTAGTAACAAGCTTGTCTGCGAAAGTCTTTCTCCCTTACCTACAGACTACCTACATTCTTGTTCCTCTTCCAGTGTTTCCTTCTGTTCATTTTTACTTTCCTACTTCACAGAGGTTTTTTTCCTGTGGAATAGAACGAAGTGGGGCCAAACCCTTATGCTGGAGCATAAAAGCCAGTTTTGATGGATGTGCTTGTGTTGTGACCACACAACCTTCTGCAGTAAATGTGAATAAAGTTTTTTCTCCCCTTTGCTCCTTTAAGCAAAGCAAGTCGGCGGCGAGATTGAAGGAGGACATGAAAAAGATAGCTGTGTCTCCCCTGAACAAGCAGAGGGACACGACCTGTCCAAAGGTGTTTGGTGTGAGTCTTCTGGAGCTCCAGCAGCAGGGATTGAGCAAAAATGGAATCCCAATAGTTGTGTGGAATATAGTGGAGTACCTCACCCAGCATGGTAAGCTTAGTGGAGTCGCTTCTCCTTAGCAGCACTTTTTATGTAAGTGTAAGACTCTTCAAAGGGAAGAATGTAGGTTTTTTGTGGCACAAACCACAGACATTGCTGTATGTGGTTTGCTTCTTTTTTTATTTCTGCCTTGATGCTGAACTTACTTTTTAATATGTTTATAAAGGTGAACTACATACAGCATTAGGTAGCAGCACACTCATTAACAAGCTGTTTAGTTTATAAATGGAATGTATTCCATTTGTGAAGGTTTGTGTCATCTTCCAGTTGCAAAACATTTATCTTTAACACTTTTTCTATATAGAGATAGACACAGGCACACATACACACATGCCCCATCAGAGAATATTATTGGAAAGGAATACAAGTTCTTACAGGCTTTCAGATATATTCCAATTATTATTAATCCCCTCAAGGAAGTAGGTGTTAAATTCTTAGCTTCTCGTTGCATTCATTTAATGGGACTTTAGTTCCTGTTGTTGAGATACATTTCCTTGCAGAAACCTAGAGCACCACTGGTGCACAGATGTCTTGTAGGACATTTGGTCAGCAATGGAAAAGGTTTTGTGGTGGTAATCTCATCTTCTAAAGAGCTGCATCTGGTTTTACCCTGAGGTTTTCTTTAACTATTCGATAATGATAATCCAACTGCAGAGGCTTAGATTCTATGACTGTATCTTGGTAGATCCTCAGAAGCTCATAGATGCAAATATGGCTTGAAAATTAGCTTGACTTAAGGTACAGTGCAAATTTGAAACATGGTTCTACTTTTACTCAGCAGCGTCTTGCTTGATCTACTTCAACCTGTATAAAAGTGGCCTGCTAGGACACTGGAAGAGAAAGAATGGAAAAAGCTTTCCATCATTTAGAGTTTAATCAAAACCAGAAACTGACAGACACTCTTGACTGGAAGTTGTGGTCTGTGCTCTGTGTTCCATAAAAAGATTGGAATCCCACACGACTATGTCCCAGATATGGACTAAACAAGCCAAGTTTTCTACTCTGAAGCAGGATTAGCTGGGCTTCTGAATGCCAAATTGATTATCTGGCCCTGATAAAGACCATTCTTCTTCTCAAAAATGCAAGCAAGATCTAAAAGATACCCTCTCATATGGAGAGTTGTTGAAATGGGTGTCCCATGTCTGTGTTAGGCTTGTTTTGTGAATTAATGGCAAAATTAACTGTGAAGGCATTTTTAACAAAGGCTCAGACACCCAGGCTGAGCTGACTGTTGGGCAGCTATATCCTTAAACTAAGTTAGCATTAAGCTGCCTATTTCCAAATTTAGAGATGAAGCCAAATTTCCCTGTGGTGTATTTAGTAGTTTCTAATTACTGTTTTGAGGGTGTTTTAACCTCTCTTTATTTCCATAAATGAGTGAGAGAGGGGGAAGGAAGTTTGATCTGTGTGGAGGCTGTGGCCTTTGCTCACCTAGTATTGCAAAAACAAAAATCTTTATTGAGATGAGGTGTTTTCTGCCCTCGAGATGGCAGTACAGCATCTTACATGAGAATGCATTTTGTTGTGAATGCAGCAATACAAACTCTAACACCAGTATCTCATATTAGTCAAGTAAAATGTTTTGAGTGGTTGTCCATTTTTTTCCCTTGCTAGAGCAGTTTGTATTCTAGTCCAATAAAGCAGATTATTTTTCTTTACAAACTCTGTTGCCTCAGATTTTATTTCTTGGATTGGAAGCATTCTGTCAGATTGCAGTTCCTTGATGTCTCGTCTGAACTGATGAAAACAATACACATTCAATCCTCTTAGTGTTACACTTCTGAGGAACAACAAACAGGTCTATAGACACAGTATTAGAAGGGCAGAATTTCTGCAGTGAAAGTGTTGTAGAGAAAAAATCGTATACAGAAGTCAGTTTTAGGGTCTTCCCAGAAGGTTTTGAATCATAACAAATAGAAAGCCTAGAAAGTGCTGTTCAATTTAGTATGATTAGTCTGGCTTCCTCTGTTGAAGCCTCCTTTTTTGTACATCTCCTTTACTGGCCTGTAGTGATCGATACTATTTCTTTTTCATTGTGAAATACTCTGTGCTGTCCATGATACATTATTTGCTTATTGAGATTTTCTACTTACTATGGAGTTACTGCTGCACTCGGCACGTATTCAGATGTTTTTACCTCATGATGGTCACAGGTAAGAACCTGTTACCCTGGAACATAAAGCTGTAAGTAATCCAAATGTGTGAATATGGCAGTCCTGCTCAAAGTAATGGGCTACTTGCAAAAATGAAACAACTGAAGGGTTTTGTAGAGTCCTTTTCTGTTGAAATATTCCAATGGAAAGTGTCTGTCTCAGTTGATTTCTCATGGTGTGAGACAGCTCAGTGGCATTGCAGTATTTTGGGTTCTCAAAAGAGTATCCCAGACTTCAAGGTGTTGTCATTAGTATTTGTTATTTATCATAAATTACCTGACTAGAGGGGGTTTCTGGGGACAGAGTTGTATTTTTTTTTATATTGTGGTGTATTAATTGCCCTCGTTTGTATTACTACATGTGTGTTATTCAAACTAGAATATCTGTTTCATCATGTCACTGGGATGTGGTGGTTCAGCTCAGTCTTAATATATAATTACAGGTATGACACAGGAAGGTCTCTTCAGAGTGAATGGCAGCATGAAAATGGTGGAGCAGCTGCGTCTGCAGTACGAGCGTGGGGAAGAGGTGGAACTCGTGAAAGATGGTGATGTGTACTCAGCAGCCAGCCTGCTGAAACTGTTTTTGAGAGAGTTGCCAGATGGAATTATCACATCTGCCTTACATCCCAGGTTCATTCAGCTTTACCAGGGTAAGTGAGAGGTAGAGTCTTCGTCCTTCAATGCATTTTCTTTCTGGGTAACTGGTTTCTTAGTTTACTTACTTTGTTCCTCATTTCCTTTGGCTTCAGCTCTTACCTGCTCCCAGACATGCAGTTCTGTTACAAGTGGCAGAAAAACGTTTCTCATGTATTTGGTAAACTCTGGACTATTTATGATTTTCTAATCCATTTATGTTGAATAGAAAGTGAAATGATCAGCTGGTTGTTTTTTTTTTCAGGTATGCCTGTAGAAAATAATTGCAGTGTCTTTAGGACATAGATTTACTTCTCTTTGCTAGGGTGGTTTCTGACAGTTTCATTGTAATGGACACTGAGAAGTGAGAACTTTATCTGCTTTTAAGATTGGGCCAAAAGCATACACTGCCAAGGTTTCTGCTTCTCACTAAGTAATGTGATTGTCAAAAAAAAATAAAAAAACCAACCAGTTTACAAGTAACAGCAGACTTTGTTTTATTCCCTGTCATAGCGCACAACCTGGAAGATTTCTTTTTTTCTTTTATTCACACCCCTCATCCACCTTCAAGTGGTTGATCAACCACAAGAAAGACCAGCACTTCTGCTATGGAAAGTTGAGAAATCATTTTAAAGAGAGCTATGCTAGTTTCAGTCTACTTCTCCTGTATCTGACAATCTGGTGGTGGTAGGTGGACTAAGTGGTGATTGGCCCTGTTCCGTGACCATGTGGGTCACTGACAGTTCATCTCTCTTGCTGCAGGCAGTCAGCACTTCTTGATGTTTTCCTAAGAAGCTATAAGATGAGTGGGTAAAGTTACTGGAGAATGAAGAGGAGGAACATGCTCTCTGACATGCATCCCTGGTGGAAGATGGTGTCAAGTTCTCACACCCTTGTCTTGAGGTCTCCCATTTTTCTTGCCTTCAATGAAGAGGAGGTTTAGCTATTTCCAAGAGGAGTGCCATGTGTTTTCTTTCTTCCTTTTGTTTTGTGGGCTATAGAAGGTGTTGCTGATGCACTGGAGAAGAGCTTTGTGCTTTACCTTGAGTGCAGACATTTCAGCTGTAGGTTGTATGTGGACTGTGTAAAATACCTTCCCTATTTAGTAAAGCTTGTCTGGCACACAGGAATAGGGTTCAGGAAGTGTTGTGTAGGAAGGTGCTATTGTTTTAGAAAGTCCCTTTTTTCTGGTCATTGCTGTGCTTTCTTTGGGGACTTTTAGATTTCACCAGGTCTGACTCATGAGCTGTATTTATGTTCTTTCTCATAAATCACAGCTTAAGTGTAAATTAATAATAAATAAATAAGTCACGCCTTTGCTGTTCCATATCTCTGCCCCCACAAAGATCATACTGGTGTATTGTACCAGGAACTGCTGGTGTCCTTTTTGAACAGTGCTTTTGTGGTGTATGTGGAAAGGTTCATTGGTTCTGTCTCCTACAGGAAGGGCAAAATCCCCCCAGTACTTTCTAGGGAAGTGAGGTGGGTATCATTACTTAGCAGATTTATTCACCAAACTTTCTTGTTTCCAAATAAAGTTACTAGTATAACCTATGAACCCAGATCTGCAAAAATCCATCTAACTGTGACGTGTCTTCGTAGCTAAGTTTGCCTGTATTTCACAGTAAGATCAAGCTTAGTGCCATTAAAATTTTTATTAGGGAATAAAAAGTCTTACTTGAAAAATGCCAGTTGACTGTTGTGGCAGGGGGAAGGCCTGTGTAAAGTTTGGAGAAAACTTGAAGGGTTTTTCACACCCCAGAAAATACAGCATAAATGAATAATTATGAAAGGCACTGATGATTTTCAATCATGTTCAGATAAGCTTAAGTAGTAGGTGGGCATTTGCTTGCAGTTAAATGATCAACCAGCTGTGCAGGATTGCAGGAGTTATCTGTTCACTTATCGAAGTATGTGTAAGGGTATTGCTTGCAAAATGGTACCAGGACAGTGCATGCCTGGGTGTTCGTTTTGTAAACTGTGAAGAGAGTAGGTCAAACTGTTTCTGAGTCAACAGGTTATTAAAAAATAACTTTGAATCTGGAGCCACTTTGAGACATGTCTACAGGGAAGGCAAATACAAGCTCTGTCACAATCTCTGTATTCTCGTATTGAAGCTTTGCATGGGAAATGTTTTTTTAGGATTATGTTATATTTCTTTTGGTGTATTTTTAGGGATTGTTATCAGCATTTTTTAAGCCAGCTGAGATCTTGGCCTGAGAAAAACACATAGTTACTTTACTTACTATAAAAATGGTTAGAGAGTGATTCCTCTAGCTAAAAATACCTGGACTGAAAATTGCAAATTTTACCTGTAGGTGTAACCCTTTTCAATTCCAGCTATCAAATTTGTTACCAAATCAAAGAGAAATAATCTGCCCTGTTCTGAAAGAAAGAAGCTGTCCTGTTAATGTTCAGGAAGTCCATGCAGCTGGTTTGGCATTGTTGTCTGCAGCCTGTGCAGTGTTGTGTGAAACAGAGCTCTGCATGCTGCCCTCAAATCCTAAAGTACTTTTGTTTAAATAAATATTCAGCATAATGCCAAGACTATGCAGTTCCATAACACATCATGTAGTGTATTGTGGTGTGTCCTGGCATTCTCTCTGTGCCCTTGGAGAAGGACATTGGCAGTGGGAGATGGGAAGGGGCTCCCCCTGTAAATGATGTTGATTGGAGATGTGTGTTGCAAGCACAGGTCAGGGACACACTGACAGTGACCTAGGTGTCGGCTAGTCTCCTCACAGTGCCTGACAAATAAAGGCTGCTCCTTACCAGGAGTTCTGGGGTGAAAAATATCCATCACAATCTCTTTTGTGGCTGAGGCTTCACTGCAGAGCAGAACTGTGTGAAATGGGCTGTACTTTGAGAAACCTCAGCCAGAAATTAGCAGGTCCCATACAGCAATCCCTGCCTGAGCTTGTTTATTCCCTCTGGCTTTTCATTCCTTATCTTCTGTATTGTGATCACTGGCTCTTAAGACATCCGTACATACTAGGAACTGTACACACAGCTCTTACCCCTTTCACAGGTCACTTGCTTTCATCAAGACAAAGTGCTACTGTACTGTAAATTTAGTTTTTGTTGCTGTTTCATTCCCTCCTCCAGTGGAGGTACAGTGAAATGTGGACTCTGTCTTCCTTTCTTACTCAACCTAATTAAGTTTAATGCCATTTTGTCACACTGGCTTCTTGACATTGCTTATTCTATGGAATTTATGTTTTTTCAGTGGGCAGCATCAAGATGTGAGTTCTATTTCACATACCTACTTCTGCTCACTGCCTGTGATGACTGGCATGGTTTTGTCTGGTGCCTTTTTCAGGGAGAGGTTTGGGAGGCAGGGAAGGGAAGGAGCAGCTCCTTCCACATCAACAGGTCAGTTTACAGAACACTTAGTAGCCAGCAGCTGTTTGAGTTACGTGAACAAGCAGAACCAAAAATATAGCTTGTGTTGGGGGACTTGAGAGGTCAAATTTCGATCTGAACAATGATTGTGAGAATGAATAGATGAGAGCTGACCTTTTATCCATTATTATAGATGGGTCATGAGATGGTTGGCTCTCGCAATTAAAGGATGAATGTTATGTGTATGCTATGAGAAGTTTTATTGATTTTACTGTTGTCAGAGTCCGGGACATGCTTCTGGCTGCCCTGGATGTCTCGAGACCTTGGCAGGGGTCTCGGAGACCCTAGTGTGAAGTCAAAAACATTTGTGGCTTCAATTTTAGCCTGTGGAAAAAGCTGTCAATTTGGTATGAGAAATTAAAAATCACAAAGGTTTTAGTAGTGTGATATTTGAACTAACACAGGGTGGAAAAGTAGAATTTTGGGATTTTTAGAATATAATTCAGGGGGTCAAGATGGAGGAATTTGGGCATGTCCTAACCTTCTTTTCCTTCTTCTTGTCCTCGATGTCTTAGTGTAATAGTAACACTTTTCTATTAGTTTAAGGTAGAGAGTCACAATCAAACATAAGTAATAAGTATTAGTAATAAATTGTAAACATACTACGCATAATTTTAAGTATATAAGATGGGAGCCACCCAAAACTCAAGAGCAAAATACCATAGCCTCCTTACTAACCAAAGCTCAGCAAGTAAAAAAAAAAAATATATATATATATAAATAAGAAAAAATAAACAACCTTAAAAATGCAATTGGACACATTCCAGTCTCCTCCTTTAGCTGCATGAGCTAAGGGAACGAAGACTCACAATGTCAAAGTCATTTCAGAGAAAAGCAGACCTCAACAATTGTGATTTGTTGTTTGGATGTCCTCTGTTCTCCCCATAATCCCCTTTCCCCTCCAGCTTGTGTAGTTGCCACTGGACAGCCTTGGTAGCTGGGACATGTGGAAGGAGGGTGTGTACCTGTGCCCCTTGCATAGGGCAGCTGGGAGGAGGGCAGGCTGGTTACTAGGAGGTGCAGCATGACAGCACCTGGCCCCCATCAAGGTGCAAGAAAGCAGTGTGAACCAATGCACAGGGAAGAAGAGTTGACTGGCAGACTTTGGGAGGGGCTAGGGTTACCTTTTGCACCCCCCAGGGGTATAAAAGGCAGAGCACCTGTTTTGTGGGTGAGCATACGGAGTTGTAGTCCTATGCTCCCAGGGCTGTAATTTTTCCTGACTCAATCCTTTGTTGTATTGTGTTAAGGTTTAATAAACCTGGGAAGTTTTTAAAAATGGGCATAGTTTCTCACACCATGGTAACTGCAGCAGTGCACGAAATCTGGTTCATTGGATAGCTGTGATTCTCCAGGCTCTTGTGGCATGATTTTAACCTTTTCCTTTGGCTTTTGTGGTCATTTTAGTGTTATCAGAGCTGTTTCCAAGCTAGAGAAATAACTTCTCTTTTCCATATGATGATGACGTTCATCACTCAGTAAAAAATCTTGGAACTGGATTTTTATGCAGATGACACTCACCAGAGTTGCAAAAGAAGTGTGCTCTTCCTCCAGTATGTTGGAAAGAAGGATACATACAGCACTGCAAAATGCTGTAATGACAGAGAGTGAGGTGTCTCAAGCTGGATTGTGATGACAGCCTTCTTATGAGCAGGGCTTATTTCTGCTCCGGAAGGCAACAAGGCATGATTTTTCCTCTCTGGGGCAGCATCATGCCTGAAGGATGGTGTCTGAAGCAGATTGTTTCTTGGCAGAGAGACTGGAGTCCCACTTCACATAGATTGCAGAGGTGGAAAGAAATGCTTTAATTCCTCCTGCAGCCCAGTGGGTTCCATGCTACTGCAATGCACAACCTGCTGCCTCTGTGCCAAAGATCAGTGTCCCAGGGCACATTGAGAACTGCTAACAGATGCAAGCTTTTCTGTCTAACCCTCCAGTCTGGTAGCATGCAAGGCAGCTGGAAGCTATGCAGTGGTAGCATGACACTGAGCAGTTGCCTTTCTTCCTCACCTCACAGCACAGATAATTGGCTAGGGCACTGTGATAATGTGGCTTCAGTGCTTCTGGACTGGAGTAGTTTGGGGTCAGACCATTTGAGACTTGAGCAAGACAATTATGCACACCTGTTTGCATTAATTCCATGTATTTAGTGAAGTTCAGGCAGCATGGAGTAACATGAACAGAGATGAACTGGGGAATTAAATTGTGTATCTAGTATGTCAGAGACACTCAATATGTTCAGAAATAGCATGAACTATTGGAAAATATGTCCCTCTTGTTGTGAGCTGTGGGTGTATACTGAAATTAAGTTAGACTGAAAACTCCCTTACAAGTGTGTCTGTACCTCCTACAATGTTGAGACTCCTGTTTCTAGTTAATTAACACATTTGGAGATACTGCCTGTCCTTTTCACTTGTCTCCTTGACTCAGTTCCTCACTAATGAGTCCCAGTTCAGCTTTGAGGTGCCAGCTGCCCTTGCTGGCTTCCTTGATCTTCTGTGTTCTGTGTCCTCAGGCTGCTGAGCCTAGACATGGCCTGAGGCTGCTGGTTTTGTTCCCTTCCTCTGCCCAATCCATTCTATTTCATTCTTGGTTTCAAGCCCTGGCTGACTGCACATCTAGCTAGGCTTCTCTTGCAGGCCTTGCCTGAGATGCTGTCTATTGCACATGGCTTTTGGAAGGCTTTCAAACTAAAAAGTTGCATGTCTTTGTCTGCATTGAGAGTACCTTCTCTTAGGCTTCATTCTTATTTTTCTCTCTTTCTCCTAGACAAAATTTTCAAAATAACTGGATATGCTGTGCTTGAAAATCATGAATAGCATAAACCACTCTGGTGCTCTGATGTTTTTCTGATAGTCACTACCAGCTCAGTAACCCATAGTGACTGACTTTGAAACAAACTGAAAAGGAGGAGGAATGCTCTAAAGAATGGGTTGTTGTTATGACTCAAGACTGTTTTTGCTCTCTAAGTTGAAATGCTTTTATATTTTAAGAAATACAGTCATAGATAGCAGTAGTAGACTTGTCCTGAAAACTTTACAAAGTGCATGGAATACTGTGTATGCATGTCACTGTCTAGATTCACCACAAATTATTAAAGTAATTTTTAAAAATAAAGCTGAAATCCATGAAATGTCATCAGCAGAAGAATCAACAAATTCATTTTAATTTTTGGATTCTTTTGGAAGAAAAGCTTGAGTTCCTTCCCTTGTCTTTTTACTGGAGACGGAGGACAGAGAGCAAAGTCCTATTTTCTTTCTTAGATTTCACAAAGAAGGAACTTGATGGCTCAATAAATGGGATTTGCTGCCTCGTGCTACTGAGTATCTCTGTGTCCTTCAATTAGGGTAATTTCTCATGATCTTGTGATCTTGTCTCTGTTCTTGAAAGTACAGAAATGAATAAAGGTTTGGCTGTGGCCAGCAATAACATTTTTGATGTTGATTCATACCCCATGAAACGTCATGGTTAATGAACAGGGACTTCCTACCCAGAAAATACTCCTAAGGCCATGGGGCCAATAGATTTGTTTGTTGTTAGAGTGCAAACCTGTGTTCAAAATGTTTATGGTAGTTATTAGCATCTTCCTAGTTTGGAAGAGATGGAAATTCCTCCAGTAAATGAAAAAGTACCCATCAGTCTAAAGTCCCAGTGGGAGACTCAGAGTGGCAATTAATTATCAAGGGCATTCCCTAATTAGATAACAGGGTGGTGGTGATGGAAGAGGTACATTTTTTCTGGGAGATGGCTTTGGCTTTCCTTATCATAACTGCAAGCAATTTCTAGTAGAAAACACTGTGCTAGTTGCTTTGTTATCTAAAGAAAAGTATGTTAGGAGTATATTTTGGCTACGTGGAAATTAGTTGTGTTTTGTTTTCTTGCAAGATTTATAAAAAGATAATTAGTCATCAGGTCAGAGACTGTACAGTCCACTTTGATCAGTGCAATTACAAATGCACTGAAATTCCTTATTTTTATTCTCTTTAATACAGCCTTCAGAAGCCTACTGAAATTTTGCTGCAATAATAGATCAGATTTCTTGCTGTTGCCAAGCTGATTGCTAGTAGCAAAGTCATGATGATTTTTTCCTCTCTGTAACTGTAAAAAAGGTTGTGATAAGCAAGCAAATAAGATTTTTTTTTCCTCATCTGCTTCATGCATATTTGATATTTGACTTTTCTGAAGCAGCTAATTCTGAAGGAGAAAAGGATAGAGTTAACCAGTTGGTTAAAATGTTTGGCCCTGTAATTTGATTGGTATTTTAAACTTTGGCCTGCTGTGATGAAAGAATTCATAGTAAGTCTGTGGTACCAAAACAGACATATAAAAGTAAATTCACCGTGCATATAAAACTTAAAAAGGTTTTCTTGCCATGTACAGTATTAGGCATGTCAGGAAAGGCAGGAATCCTAAGCCTGGAAGCAGGTGAAGTCCTTCGAGTTTCAGTTGTATGAAGTGGCGAATAAGTATATAAAAAGCCTCATTTGTTTGCTATTTATTTGCAGGATAAATCCTTTTTAATAGCCACAAGAAATATCTGATTGTAAAACAGAAATAATATTGCAGCTAGCCACTTTTCAAAGCACTCTTCTGAAACACTGTTCCGCTCAGCCTTGGAATATTTCTAGGAAATGAAAGATGAAAACAAAGACAAGACTTCTTAAGTGTTTATACATACATGAAACGGTGTTCAAAGATTTTTATGTTCCCCTCCTTTTTGTCTCTCTAAAAAACGTGAAATAAATGTAAAATGTTCTTTTTTTTCTTGCAACACAAGCCATGGGATATCTTCCTGCCACTGTTCTCTGCATGCTGGTAGCAGGGCATACAGCAGAGCAGCACCAGCAACCCATAAGGCTGATAAATAAGGAATAAAAGTACTAGAAATGCACAGATGGCCTCATGCTAATGGACACTGTTTATAATTAGATCAGTGTGGAAAGCGTTCAGGGCATTAGGTCTTCTGTCTGAAAATGATGTTGCAGAGTCTTTGGGGTTTTCACGCATAAGGGGATGTTTCAGTAACTTTTCACTTTTGTGGAGAGTCAAAATTAATATTTGCAAGGACTAATGCATCCTGTTATGATATAAAGGGAAAGCAATGCTGGCTTGTTTTCAAAACTTTGCTTCTATTGCAATGTAAATCCAAGATTTTGGGGATACAAATCACTCTTTGGAAGGTGTTTTTGGGACGGAGCAGAGGAGCAAAAAATTTTGCACGTGAATTCAATTCCAGCAGCGGGACACAATTAAATAGAAGCTGTGTGTGAGGCCAAGCTTGTGTTTATCACCTGGGTCTGTTTAAACACAGCATCTGTGAAGTTCATGCAATTTTTACTTTAATACTTGGATGTAACTCAGTTCAATATGAACAACTTTTATCCATACCTAATTACTAGAAGATTGTACAGTATAACAAGGCTACTGTCTAACATGAGGCCACGTTTTGACTTGCTTTGGAGTGTGGCAGTGCCCAGAATGGTCTGTTTCCCATAAGGAAGACTCCTTCCTGAATATGCAGCAGAGTTGTCACCCACAGAAGGTATTTTAGTGCTGTTATAACACTGTGCATTTCAGGAGACCCTTTGTTTTACCATTGTTGCTTTCTTACTTTTGAAAGTTTTCATGGGAAGGGAAACTAATAGTTTGAGAAGGATTTGGGCAGTAGGGACAACATCCAGAAGGAGCATGGAATCTGCAGACCTGGTAGAGAGGGAGTTAAAGCAGATTTAGCTGTGCCAGGTGGGGATAAACATGCTTTAAAGCTCTCAGCTGACTGTTAGTAACTGCTCAATCTGCTCGGGAAAAAGGTTACAGGGTTACAGCTAAAGGTAAGAATGAAATGGCACCCTTGGTGGCCAGGATGAGCCTCAGGAAAAACATGCACATTCCCTGAGGAAAACTGAGGAGCTGTGGTTTCTGAGCACAAGCAGGAGTAAATTTAGCTCTCACTGCTTACTCACCCATGTAATTAAGTTGGCAGCAATGAAGAAAACCATATACATATGTTTTTTCTTCTCTTCTTTTTCCTAGACTCTAGAAACGACATGCAGAAGGAAAGTTACTTGAAAGAACTCCTTAAAGAACTGCCTGATGCTCATTACTGCTTACTGAAGTACCTGTGCCAGTTCCTTATAAAGGTTGCTGAACATCACGTAGAGAACAGAATGAATCTTTGCAATCTTGCCACTATATTTGGACCAAACTGCTTTCAGTAAGTTGGGCTTTTTACTATGCCCTGTTTGCTGGCAGGTGACCAGAAATGTAGATGTCAGAAATCTTTGTCAGAGTGAACAAATGGAGGCAGTGGCTGGGACTCTGTGTTAAACTTCAGTGCTAAAGCTATTTTTGAGCCAAATGGAAGTAGAGTTGCTCTCCCATTTCCTCTTGCTGTTTGCTATACTGTTTATCAGTTTTGTATTGTTGCTTTGGTAGTAGAGCAGAAGTATAGCAGTGAAAGGCCTTCAGACTCCATCAGTGCAAGGAGGCTTGTACTCATACAGTTTTCTTCCTTTGCTATCAGTTGATATGAGTGCTTATCTCCAGAAGCCTTTGACAAATGATCTTTGGTGGAAAAGGACTCTAATGCAGCACCCAGGTGCTATATAATTTCTAGAGATGGATGCTGCATACTGTCTGCATGTTTGACCTTGTGATCTGGTGTCTGCCCTCTGATGCAAATGATTGTGGTCTCTCTGTCCTTCTAGTGTATTCAGAAACTGCTCTGGAGCTTGTGGAGATCCACTGGTCTCATAGAACTCCTTAATGGGGTCAATAGCTTTACTGGGTTCTTTCTCTGGGTGCAGTTCCTGGGTTCTTGTGCTGAAGACATGTTTTATGTGCTGGTGGAGCTTGCAGCAGTAGCCAGAACAGTTATTTCCAGGTGCAAGAGCACTCTTGAATGAGAAGGTTTCTGTTGAGTCACTGCAGTGATGCAGGGCAGCGTTAGCACCTTCACCTCTGCAATGAGCCTGGCATCCAAGGTCTTTGACATGAGAGACACCTAAGCAGTTCAGCTCAGTCATCAGTTGTGAAATCACCAAGAAGAGACAAGTGAGTTCCTTGTATCAATGTTGCATTTGTATTGATCTTTGTAAAACGTCACTCTGGACTAACACTGAGTTGTCTAGTAAAACTTAGTCTTGTGAAGCAATTAATTTAATCTATTCCCCTGAATTTCCTCTTGGAAAGACACAGATTTCTTTAAAGAGAGAAAACAGAAATTAGGTTTCTGTAATATGTTGAGACAGTTCCTTGTACCTAGGCTAGATGTTTCCTGCTGTCTTTTTAAGGAGCATATATTTTTCCATTGATTAGGGAGAGAACATGGAGGAGTGAGACACTTAAACTAAAGCTTGTCCTAGCGACTACACAGCTGCCTTATCTTAAGATGTTGCTGGTGGATGATGAAGGTGAATTTCAGGATTAAAGCATTTGCTCTATTAGTACAAAAAGATAAAGTATATTTTAAACATAATTGTTTTCCTCTCTGAAACAAAAAATGCTCAAAAGATGAGAATTACTGTAAGCACACTACTGTGAATTTCTGACAAGGAAAAGCAAAACAATTTTTTAAACTTGCATTCATATGGGTAGTTTGGGAATTCCTGTCTAAATGTATTAGCAGAGTTCAGAACAAAGAAAGTAATTAGAAGAATTTGAGTTCAATAGCTAAATCGCTATGACTCAAGCTCCCAAGTGGCTATTAGAATAATTTTTAGTTTACTCATCACTTCTTTGAGGAGAGTTTAAAAATTAGCTGCACATATTTTTGGGTGTAGAATGTGGAGAATTGCAGTTCAGAATTGCAATTGGCATTCCTAAGTGTATGTGTTAAAAATTCTATAGTTGTTGCTGCAACTGATTTCTGCTCATAAGACAGCATGGAAAAGATATAAGAGTTTTTGTAAGGTACAGAGATGGAAACACCTCATTCCATTGCAGAAGACTGAGGAAGGCAGAGTTCACTGGAGGTGAAAAACCAAAGCTCATGAGTCTATTGAGAGTGTGACCAGCCCAGCAGATGTGACACCTTGAAATAAAAGCTCATGTGGCAAAAGGGCATTGAAAGCAAGGCTTCACCCTTACCAAAGGGCTAATGTGTTTTAAAAGATCCAAATAGGTTAGAATAAGGGATGTAGATTTTAAGTTAAACTAAATTTCACCATCTGGTATTTCAGCTATATGTTCCATCAGGTCTGGATCTTTTCAAGGCAGTTCATTCTTGTGCTCCAGACAGGAAGATTATGAGCAACAGTTGAAATACCCTTTTCTCCTGTCTTAATGGATGCAGTCTTACACTGCTGGAACTGTGACTATCTGTACCAACAAAGATTTGACAGGGGAAGGAAAGAACTTGCAGCACTGTTTTTAGGTCTTGGGCTTAACCAGTTGGTTGGCCAAGCATCCAGAAGGAGATCCTCAGAACACATTTCAGAGCTACAGAGTAAGGCTGCCTGAAGCCTGCTTGGTAAGGACTGTCTCTCTCTACTGCCTGCAGGTAGCCCATGGAGAAGCTGCAGAAATTAAATGTTGGCAGGAAGCTGAAGCGGTTGCTCCTCTTGCTTTGCATTGTTTGTTCACAGCAGTGCACAGGGGGTTTCTCCACGACAAGGAAAGGAGGCTCAGCATCCAACTTGTCAGCAATTATACTGCCAACGCAGGGAGAACTGAGATTTTTCTGTCAGAAATTCACACTCATGTCTAAAAGTAATGTCAATTTGTGTAGTTAATGCACAGTGTCAGAGAAGATAAAGCCCATCTGCTGGTAGTGAAGGACTTCTTTTGGCAATTCTTTGGCAATTCTTTTGGCAATTTTTAGTGACAATTTAGCTACTTAAGCATAGTATCTCCTACCCCATAACTGAAGTTGTTTAACAGTTGAATAAATCATGCTGCTTGGCCACTTTCCAGATTATTTAGACTTCATTTTAATTCTCTTAATCTCATTATGTTTTTCTACATCATATCCTCTGTAATGTATCCCATCTCCTAAACCTTTAACCCTTAATTGCTTTTATCTTATCCAGTACTTCCCCTGCTTCCTTACTTGCTCTTTGACAAACTGCACTAGCCCTTGTAGTTCCTCCAGGGCTGTATTTCTAATGAATAGAAGGGAAAAAATGGCTATTTGCATTCCTTATAATTAAGTGTGATGTAAGATATAAGAACATGTCGAGTGCAAGGTCAAACAGCTCAAAAAAAGATTTGAGATTTGGTTCACTGTTTTCTCCCAACTCGGTTTATTCAGATTTATTGTGATGGAAGGGAAAGGTCAAGTATATTGAGAAATACAGCCCTGGAGGAACTACAAGCATGAAGGAACAAAAATAGCTGTCTTTTCTGACACTGAGCTAATCTGTGTAGAGTATTAACATTTGCAGTGTGATTACTCTTGGAGGAAGTTATTGTCCATTGACCTGACTTTCAGCTCCTGGAGAGACATAGCCTTAGTTAAGGCCTGCTATGTGGGCTCTGCTTGGCTCTAACAGCTTGTGATAAAATTGAGAGGTTTTCTCTCCTCTCTGCTCTCCAGGAGATGGGTATCAAAGGAGCTGCTGCCCTTATCCTGTCCTTTGGTTGGCATGGTAAGACATGAGGTATAACAGCGTAATCAGAGGATGCATTTGCACCATTTTTTGCAGCTCTCTCTCAAACAATGATCTCCATCTGTGGCCTACATTATTCAAGCCCTCATGAACTTGGTTATGTTTCATTCCAACAGAGATAAAGTGTGTTGTGAGGGATTGCTCCATCTCCCCTAAAGTGGCTGGCAAATACAGGTGTCCAGTTAAAATGCTGGAGTTAGATACAGTTATTTATGTATGATGATTATGTAACATGAAGGGTAGCAAGAAATATCTTTGGATGTGGAGAAGATGGTAGATTGTAGGGTAGATGTAGGTATTTCAGAGATGCTGAACTTGAAAGAATTAAAATCTGGTCTGTAGTTATGCATGAACATTTTACCTTGGTTTCTAGCAGCCTTGGAGCCTGCATGGATTTGGTATACAAAACTGAATTGAAAGCAGAGGGGCTGAATTAATACTCCTCAGTGAGTAATGTTGGCCTTTGGAACATTATGTAGATGGGCTTTGTTTTCAGCAGTGCAGCCCCAATCCTGCATCAGTCTTCAAAACAAATGTGCATCCAGCATCAGGGGCAAACTGGGTCCTGAATATTGTTGTTTAAACATGAATTATTGCAAATTGGAGCATGCAGCCATAACCTTTAATATAGAAAGGGTTTATATAGATTTTAAATACTGCATTATCCAGCACTGTAAAGGAATTTTTTGTAAGTATTCAGTATGCTGAACCCTATAATGACACTTTAAAGCATCAAGTATAATATAGCAAGGCTATAAATGTTCTCATCCATAATCATATTAAATACTCATGAATATTTGAGCTCAGCAATACAGCTCAAATACAATCAAAAGGAGAGTCTCTGAAGAGCCTCCCCTTTGAAACATTTGGCAATGAGAGCAATGCACTTTTGTAAGGTGATATTAGGTTATGGACTGCCATTTGTCCCCCTTTATGTAGGTTGCACTCTCTAAGATGCCTACTGTCACTGTAATTTTGTGCTGAAAAATGGAACTTTTGCTGAAGCAAAAGATTTTGCATATAAATGAAGTCAGTCAGTAAAGCCTTTATAGCAGCATCGCTCTAACTGCTTCCTGCTACCTGTGTTGCCTGCATTTTACATTTTATTATTAATTATTGTCATTCATTATGTGCTATTGTTTTATTATTATTTATTAGTGCTATTATTTTGAATGAATTATTTGTTACTTTGCAAGCAATCCTGATAGAGCAGAATTACTGAGTTGATTTAGGCCAGGCTTAGAGAAAATAATCTGGAACAGATTTTAACAGGCAGGCAGGTATGTGCCCCAGAGTTGATGCTCCAGTATCACAGGAGCTAAAGCACTTCTGCAAAATCTCAGTAGTTGTATCTGTCATTGCATTTCACCCAGACTGGTGAGATGTAGGCCTGCAAGTGATGCAGAGCATGTAACAGAATCACACAGACTGAGATGAACAGCTGTCTCAAGTGAGTGTTGCTGTATCTTTAGCTACTTTTTAGACTGTGATCTTGCAGCAGAGTCTGCAGACATGAATATGTGCCTGTTTTCAGCTGCACCAGTTTGTGGACTGGTGTGTTAGGACAAATCCCTTTCATCACCTGAAGTGGACGAGTTATGGCCCGAGGTTGCATCTGTTACAGACGCAGTGAAGTCTGCCTAGAGGCGCAGAACATACTGCCTCAAGTTGTAGCCTCTATAAATTACTGCAACTCTACTCTCAAAATCTCCACTTGTGCTTGTTGAGGGACTCATGGGCATCTGAGGTACTGAGGTTTTGCCGGGGCTGGAGAAACAAAAAAATCCATGCAGTGTTTCCTGTCCTCTGAGTCCCTTCATTTCTGGCAGGATTCCCTGGGAGGATGGTAAGGGGACTGTGGTGCTTCTCTAGAAAAGGTACTGTACAAGCAGCAAAAGTAGTCTGTAGAGCATATAGCCCCCTGTAATTGTAAATTAGGATTACAGTGCTGTCATTCCATGCAAGCTGCTTCTGGAAAACCACTTGGGGAAATGGTAATGTACATCTTTCATCTCAGACAGGGTGGGGTCAAACGCTGTTGGGAATTCATAATGAGATGACCCTTTCACATGCAAATCTCTGGTTCTCAGTTGTGACAGGGAAGTGTCAGCAGTTGCTGCCTGGGGAAATCAGTTCAGTGACCTCAGTTCAGCTCATTATAGACAGATTACTACTTCCCAGGTCCTCCTGGCCACTTGAAGCAGATTTCCCAGGTGTGGTGGATGGTGACAGAGCCTTGTAGTGATGCCTGTCCTGTGCCACATGCAGTCATGTTTGCGTGTGTCACTGCACTGCTCTCTGTAGAGTCTGGAGGTTCACTGTCTGGAAAGCCCACTCTGCATTCTGTTAGAGCTTGTTACAGAGACCCTGAGGTAAATTCATTTAACTAAATGCCTGAGATGTAAGGAATTCTTTCACAGTGAGTTAATCTGACCTCAGGTTACTTGACCTCTGAGTAAAAGCTGTGACACAGAGCCTTGCTGTAGTTTAACCCTTTGAGACAAGCTTTCCTGAGCATCCCTGTGGAAAGAGACATGGACTCAGTCTGGAAAACGCAAAGAACACGTGGGTGTGGTGTCTGCATGGACAGGACCTGCGTAGAGCTGCACTGGGTGGGCCAGCCATGCTGGTAGGACTTTGTGCAGAAGTGTGAAATGCTGCTGGGTATCAGATTTTGAAATGAGCTGACAGTCTGATCTGATTACCAAGTAATGTTTTGAGAACTACTGCTTTTTATGCTTTAAAATGACTTCACCAATAATTTCAGTTTTTAATAGCCTGCAAAACTTGTGGTACTGATGTACCTTTGGTCTTGACCTTTTTCACTGTGCCAGATACTGTTAATGCTGGTGCTTCATTTAGACAAGGCACATTTTTTCCAAATACCTGAAGTGGACATACTGTGCTTTGCACACAGATTACTCAGCGCATCTCTCTGGGAAGGGCAGGTGTCTGGGGAATCTAAGGGAGGGGACATGAGGGAATTTGCTCCTGCTCTGCCTATGCTGTGTGTCTGTTGATGATTTTGCAACCCACTGTGATAACCTCAGTGGGAGTTTTCCCGTTCAAATCGCTAAGAGAGATCTGAATTTATCAACCCTTTTTCTTCTAGAAATAACCATAGAAATTGCAGGTTTATGGCACCCTTCTGGTGTTTGTGGTAGTGAAACTGATGCTTCTGGTGCTGCTACTGAAATACTTTGTACATATGTGACTGTAAGGGGATGAAGTCCTTCTGTTGAGGATTTTGTAACTGGAGTAAATTGTGTGTCTAACTCTCAAAGCATCGCAGTTGTAGTGCCTAATTAACATGAAAATAGACATAAGGGAACCATGACTGTGAACAGTTTTATACTGTTATGTTTTAACAAGATCTTCACAAATGATCATGAAAATTTTCCAAGGATTAGGGTGTACATCAGGAAAGTGGAAGTGTGAGAGAATATTTTCTCACAGATCTGGCTTTTTTTAGTCAGTTGAAGTGACATTTGTAGATGTCATGACTTTTCAGAATGAGAAGAGCTGTAAAATGAATAGCAGTAAAATGCTATTTTTTTTACACACATTTTCAGAAAAGTCTAGTCAAACTGGTAGATCATGCAGTGTGGCAGCAGATGGAGTTTACTTTGTATAAATAGGCAGGGTGGTGTGTGCTCATAATATAAACTTATCTTCAGCTCAGCATATATTTGTTGAAAGGAAAATGTCACCATGGAGAGCTCATAGAGTGTAATAGTCCTTATCGTGATTGAGGTCTAATAATAGCAATTATAGGAGAAATATATTAGAAACATTGTTAAATATGCCTATTTAAGTGGCAGAGAGGTGGCAATGAATAAAATATGTTACATTTCCATTAAAATAAATCAATTCATGGTCCTTTGCTTAGTTACACTCAGAGAGAGGTGTTAAAAAAGACTGAAGCCATGAGCTTTAGCCTTGTGTTTTGCATATATATCTCACCCTAATCATACAGAATCGTTCAGAATAGCATGTTGGGTTTTTCACAGGTTTGATTTAAAAATTTTTTACTGACAAGGTAGCGTGGGGAAGGGAGGGCAGGAAAGTAATGGGTTTGGGCAGAAATTAAGTTTTTTTGCTTTATGGAAACTTTATAGACTGGACTGTTTTTCAACCAGATAGAGTTTTTTTTGTATTAGCTGTTGCCAGTAGGCAACTGTTAGCTGTACTTCTCAGCAGATGTGGCTTAGGTGAAAAGTGTGCTATCTGGAGTCTTTATTTTGGCTTGCACATGCTCTATTACATTTTCAGTCCTTTTCCTGGGAATGAGATTCATAGGGGTGCCATTACTTAAGTTGTACTCTGTTTTGGAGAAACGAATCAGGAAGGTAATAGGATTTGCCTCAGCTAGCAAGCAGGCAGGCTTTGCAGCATGCCAACACTGGAGCACATCATTTAGCATGGCAAGAGGAGTTTCCTTTAATCAGGATAATTGCATGGGCCTACTGCATACATACACTTTCTTCAGGCCACATACTAAGTTTTAGTGAATATGTGGCATTCTTCAAAGTGAATTGGCCTGAGCTTGCATGCACATCCATCAATAGGAGTTGGCCCATTTGCTCTTCATTTAGTCTGAGGTCAGCTTCCACACTAAAGAAATCAATCAGCTGAGACTGACACATTTTTACAGTTGCCAATATTCTACAGTGTAAAATAATTAAATCCTTTAAAATTCAGGTCCTGCTACTCTAGCATGTATTAAATGTTGAAATGATAGCAATAAAGACTTTTGGAGTTTAGAAAGATGTGTTCTGCTGCAGTGGGTTACTCTCCCTATTGACATGAAGATGTATGAATAAAGCATTGAGAAGGATCAATAGTCCCTACAGAAAGGCACTTTTTGATGACAAGTTTCTGGGAGCATCAGCTTTCAGAGCCTTCTTGTTGAAATGCACATCTGTCCCCAATAAACTGCAGTTACAGTTTTAGGGTAGGTAGTTATTTGTAAATTTTTATTTACTCCTTGCAGTAAGCAATGGTTTACTTTCAAGTAAGATAGCTCAGGGGAAATTTATTTTGCTTTTGGGGGTTTGGGGTGTTTTCTTCTCACATAACGTCTTCTTGTCTTCAGCCAAAAGGTACTTGAAACTTTTTTTTGTTTGTTTTGGCTTCTCTGTTTCTTCACTCTAAATATTTCCTGTGTTTCATTACTCCTGATCATCAGTCTCTGCAACTTTGTAAGGTATTTAGGAAATTCACATTCGTGAAGCCACTTTGTGGCTTACTGAGAAGACTGTGTCTACTGGAAATACTATACAATAGGTAGCACTGAATGATTGCATAATATTCTTCAGATATTGTATTTTTGCATTAAAATGGAATTTAAATCAGTTTGGGGCCAATAAAATCGTCCAATAAAGTGTGCAGAAAATTTATATTCCAGCAGATGATCACTAGAAGCTTCAATGAATTATGAGCTCTGTTGCAAGTGACATGCATTTTTTGCTGCTTGAGAGAGTTGTGTGAAATAAATAAGGAAACATGCAGATACATACAGTATCTTCCCTTTTCTGTGTGCCTTTAAGGTCTGTAATAAGCTGCAAAGGGGCCTGTTTCAAGAGAGAAAGAAGCCACTTCTTCAGCAGCCAAGTAGTTGGTTATTCTCCCAGAAAATGGAGCTTAGGAACCATTTTGTATTAATCTTTTAGGCTCTTCTGCAATAGGCAGCATCCATCTCCATGTTTTAGAAAGCCGTTTGAGTTATGACCCTACTTTCAAAAGAAATGATAACTCAGAAGTTAGATTAAAAAATCTGGTGTACAGCATTGGGTCATCCGAAGGCAAAGACCTTGTTTAATATTCAGTGCTTTGCTTAGCATTTGGGATTTCTTAATTTTTTCACTTATCCTTCTTGTGTACATTTGAGGTTATCACAAACCCAGGTTTTGGAGGAATCTGACTCTTGAATTAACAGTTCAGAACATCTAAATGCCTGAGCTGTCTGCACTGTGGGTTGTGAAATCCAGCTTACAGCAGAGTTGGTGGTGCCTCATTTGGTGGTTGTCTCAATTCTATCCCTGCCTTGATTCTGTGGAGAGGGTGGATCGGCCAACAGCTCTTGTATTTAATATCGATAAGAAAAACTGCAAACAAACTGTAAGAGTTGTTACCAACATAGGCACAGGCCTCCTTTCCAGTTCAAAGTTTCCTGCACCTACCACCCAGCCTGTATCCACAAATGGAATGTTACAGAGACCTTCTGCAGGATATTTTGTATGTTGAGTCCCTGTAACACTCTGCTTTGTCATCTCTCCAATTCTAGTGTGCCCTCTGGATTTGAAGGGATAAAGGAACAGGAGATCTGCAACAAGATTATGACAAAAATGCTGGAAAATTACAATACCTTGTTTGAATTAGAAGGCTTGAAGAAGGATGAAGAAAAACCTGTATGTGAAGAGTTAGCAAAAATAATTTTGGTAAAAGTGAGTATCTCTAATATTTCATTTTCTCACAGCAGATCAATAATTCAGACTTATTTCAGGCTTCAATTAAGAAATCTTTTAGATAAATGGAAGGCAAACTCTTGTAATAATGTTCTGTGTTATTGATTGGCATGCAGTTTACACACTGATTCTGCTGATAGGCTAATTTTCATGACTGGTGTGGAAGTTCATTCTGTTAAACATCTTATTCTTTGTTGGCTACACACTTACTTATACAGGAAATATATTCACTGAAATTCAAATGTTTTTAAACGAGGAGACAGAATAATTCTAAAAAGTCTTCAGGGCTTCTGACATGGTGGTGTACTCCAGTGATGATGAAATTTGGTACTCTAGGACAGTGTGAGGTTTCTAACCTTTGCCTTTGCGTGAAGTCTGCCTGTCTCAAACATGCACCCGAGTTTAAAAGTCAGGCATTCTGACTCAGCCACTTCTGAATGCACTTGAAGAGAAGCATTAAGTAAGAGTTACTCTTCGAAGGAAGTACATCGGAGCTCTTAAAGAAAAGTGGTGTAGTTAGAGTATTGTGCCTTTGATGGGAAGAGGGCTGGTGTGTAACATCAAAGGATTTTAAAATTCGAAAGCTGACAAGTAGGGCAGCCAAAAGTGCCTTGTTCTGGCTTGTGTTGTCTCTACCACAAGAAGCAACCTCAAGTCTGCAGGAAATGGTTATGAGGATGGTTTGCAGTTGCCTCATTTCTTATTGTGTGTAAACTGTGCTGATAATTACTATTTCACAGGGTGTGAATTTTTGAGTTTGGAAGGGTTGAACTATGTGCCTTTCCTTGGTAGGGCTTTACCCACTGATAAAATCACTTTAGCCTTCACTGTCTGGAATAGAAGTTGTCAGAAAATAAATTATAAAAATACAGTGTCTTTGACCTTGACAGGACAGGAAGTTTGGTGTGAGCCCAGGTTCTGCCATTCAGAGGAAATCAGCTGATAACATCTCTGCCTTTGTGATGTATCACAGGAGGTTCTGCTGAATCCCTGTAAGCTGGGCTCAGTTGCCTTTAGAAGGGTTGCTGGTTTTCTTATGGGTGAATCAGTGAGGAAGTATTTAGCTGTATTTAGTTGTCTTTTAGCTGTTACTAGCACTCAGCTGAAATGCTTCTGTGGAAGGAGGTAGAAGCACTGATAGCTGACCAGTGTCACAGTAACTTCTGGGTAGTGGAAGTGCTGTGCTTGGCCAGTGACAGTGATATGTAGCCACTGGTGGTCACTCCAGCAACAGAACCAGGAAAAGAACATATTTAAAAAAAAAAAAAAGGCCCAGAAGAAAAGCTTCAGATGTGTTTCCTTCTCCTTCAAGCCTCAGCCAGTTCCAAAAGTCAAGATAGTCTTTCAGTTCTAACGACTTAGTAGTAATTGGGATTGCAGTAAGTTAGAGATCTGGGAAATTTCCCACATCTGTTGAGAGACACAGGCTATCAAATTACATGGTGAAAACCAGAATTACTAAAAAAAAATACGCTAAAAGATGTAATTACTTAAGTGAGATGGGAAGTGTTGCCCACTGCATTGCCTCAGGAGACAGTTGATTGTCTGAGAGAGCCATGCCTAAATACAAGGGTTCACATTGTGTTTGCATCTTTGGACCTTGTTGATATTTTCCAAATTCTGCTTGTAACCTGCTGCAAAAATTTGACCTTGTTTGTTGTTCATCTAATTTGGGTGGGAAGTTTCTAGTTTAATCAAGGCACATACTCAAACACAAGAAGCACAATCATCTAACTTCATGTAGCAAGGGTACTAAGAAGGTTTTTTTAAAATTTGTCAGGTGGCTCAATGAAAGGATGCTTCATATTATTCTCAAATGATACATTTTTTGTGTCCTAGCAAATATCCCCTATCCTGGTCAATTTGTATAATAAACTCTAGAGATGGTACACTTGAAGAGAAAACCAAGTGATAATGAGATTCAGTAGAGGAAAGTGATTGCCAGATTGCTAATGCACAAATCATTGTATACAGTAGAAGCTGGTCTGTGTTATATAAGAACAAATGCCTCAGAGAGTTATTTGTCATGACCTGTGTCACAGTGTCCAGAAAAAGCAAGCTATTTGTAGGCAAAGTTACTGCTTCTGGAAAAGCCTTTGATATATCTGCAGGTAGGTGGGTAGGCATCTTCCAAATAATCCTGTTCTAAGGAGTGAAGAATGTAGGATGCTCAGGACAGTGCTCTCATAAACATAGGCCCTATTGATTTTAAGGGTATTGCATTCTAAGCATGAAAGATGGTGGGAGGAGTGAATGGCAAGAAAAGTGAAGAAACTGTAGACTTGCCTTTTACCAAACTCATCTGCATTTATTTTACTTTTTTAGCTTCTGTTTTGGGAGCAGCAAGAGGGTGAGGAGAGATTTAGATGACCTCATTCGCTTCCTTGTTGGGTATTCCATCATCCTTTCCCCCACATCCCTGACTGTATTGCCAGCACTTCACCCTGAGTCACTACACTGCTACCTTTCCCATGATTGCCTTCACTCTCACTTCACTTCCTCACTTGCCTTCACTTCCTCGCTTTTCCATGTTTACATTTTTCTCTGAATTCCCACAGCCCCATCCCACTCTTCTTGCAGTCAAATGAAAACTAGAATATGTTGATCATTAGATGAAACCATAGAAGCATCAAGCTTCTCTTGGAGCAGTGTACTGGAGAGGAAAAACAGCTCCAGTGGAGCAAGGTGTATCTTGTTTACTGTGTTGGTCATATCTAGGGGAAATCAAAAATGCTGCAGGCTTCCAGACGGAGTAAGAGCATTTGAATCAGGCACAGACTGTGGCAACTTAAAGAAAATATGTTTTAAGGAGTCCGAAAGTTAGTGTTAGAGATGGGAAAAAGAGACGTGATTCAGTAGGGCTGTTGATGGTTGAACTACCATTCTTATTATGTATGTGCACTGAGGAGGCAAAGGACCACCTTAAACCAAGTTACATTTCTTCTTTCAAAGGTTGCTCAGTCATTGGGAAAGACAAGTTATGCCAGGTAAAAGGAATTTCGTAGCTTCTTTTCTTTGTCAGTGGATCATAATTCAGAAAATAAGGCAGCTAGAAATCTCTGCAAGTTGCATTTGAGTGCCTGCTTTGTTCTCAGGGCTGTATAGCCTCCTCTTGCTCATTGCTGAGGCGTATTGTAATATTATAGTTAGAAATTATGGAAAATGTTCCTTTGGAAACATCTACTTTGTTTTTTTAAAGTACAATTTTAACCAAAAAAAAAAAAAAAGTCTTAGAATAGTTTCACTTTCAATGGGAAATTGGACTGTCAGGTTCATGACACCTTGCCTGGAAGGATTTCGTTCCGCTTATTAGAATGATACCAGATGATTGTCCAGTTTGGTGACCAGCAGGTGGAAGTATAACATGTGCTTTCTTCAGAAATATATCTATATTTGGAAATGCCCTATAATAAAAGAATTATGGGGTTTGATTTATTGGGGTTTTTTTTTTAATTCTGTAATAAACTGGAGTTTATTGGAGTTTACAGGTCTCATTTGCAAGCAGCTATTACTGCAATCCTAAATCCAAGCTTTACTTCAATTTCCTAAGTCAGTAAGAGTCTCAGTTGGTTTATCAGTTGGCTCTGCTAGTTAGAGAGAAATGGGTGAAATGGGTTGAACATTCTGATTAGGTGCTTGCTCTGTGGTCAAGTTGTCAGGATCATAAATACCTGTTTTTTATTAGGCAGTGTTGTGTGCAAACGGTTCACTATTGTGCATTTTCGCATTACAAATGTCAGGGGTTCCTAAGAAAATAATGCTTATATTTTGCTTTGGAACAGAACTCCTAGTGTGAATCCATATGATCCTGATAGATTTTTGTGTTAGTAAACTGAATGACAAATCATGTAATGAGCTATTAGTCAGTCTTGAGTTGCAATACTGCTAATTTTGTAATCTTCTGGAAGAAATAGGTTTACAAAACCTATGGTAACAACAGAAATTATAATTTTGAACAAGGACTTTTAATATGCAAAGGTCTTGAATGGCTGTTTGAACTGCAGCTGCATGTAGTTTTATGCTGTAGCGCTAGCCAGTGGGGTAGTGCTACAACTGGAATGAGTTGGGACCTTGGAATAACAGTCATTAAGCTTCTCTAATGATCAAAGATAGGCAGTGAAGATTTTTATATTCAAGGGGCAAGGGAAATTTGGGCAGGCAGACTATGCTCTTGGGAGATTTCTAGAATTATTCCTTCCACTGGCTTGAGGTGAAACGTCTCCTTTAACAGCATGGTTTATAGCTCAGTATTGTCTTCAAATAAAACATATACTCTATTACCTAGTCATGCAGGTTACAAGATCTTTTTTTTTTCTGTTGTATTTTCACCTTTTCCCTCCAATGCCTTCTTCACAGCACTTCTAGTTTCAAGAACCAGTCAGCTCAGAACACATAAATATTTGCACTGGCACACAAACACTGACATTATGAGGATGTTATGTTATTCCTGGTTTGATCACATGTTTGGAACAGGAATGCAAAAGGCTTTTCCCATTCCTCCCCAGCTGGGTGGTAGAATACTTACGCTGTTCATCTGATGCAGAAGAAAAAGCAAGTACATTTTGAAAATTAATATAACATTAAAATCAAATTGAAAGTTGGTCCTACAAAGTCAAGTAAATACATGTACAGTTTTATCATTTTGATATATTGTAGGTGCATTTTGATAACCTCTGAACAGGCAGGTTTCAGTCCCTGAAGAGCTGCAGAAATTGGTCTCCTGCTGATTCTTGCAAAAACAAATAGTTTCAAAAAACCTCTTATTTTAGATGCAATTACCTTGCTGCATTTTTATCCTGCTTGTTTCCAGTCTTCTAGACAGAGCTGCCACTTCAGTGGGAAGGATGAGTTGACAGAGTAGATTTCTGCACTTTAAATGGCAGCACAAGTGCGCACACAGTGTTGTGCAAGCCTGCTCTGAGATTTCTGACATGCAGGCAGTCCCCTGCTGCAGGTGTGGCTGCACCTCTGGGTGCTTG